GTGAATTTGGGAGAGGGGATACATAGTCAACAATATACAGCGTAAATCCATCGCCAAAGATATCACTGCGTGTAGAAGATAGTCTTCACGTGAAACACCCACGGATCATAAACTCATCGCTACCTCATTTAGCATCACGGTTTATGGAACGGCAGAAAGGATAAACTATAGATAGATAGATAGATAGATAGATAGATAGATAGATAGATAGATAGATAGATATACGTCCTCGTCATAAGAAAACCCGACGGAAGCACAGAAACCACTGTGTACAGAAAACCCACAACGACAGACCAGGTGCTGAACTACGACAGCAATCGCCCCACGTGTCACCTTAGGAGCTGTGTATACACTTTATTCCGCCGTGCAGACACATTGCAGCACAAAGGAACTTCGGCATCAGGAACAAATGCATCTGTTCCATCAATTCCACGCAAATGGATACTCTAAAAGTTTCGTCCAATTATGCCTTAGGGGAAGAAAACCGAAGGATGAAGAGAAGAAAACGAAACTCTTATTACCATACATACGTGGGATATCAGATACCGTTGATTGCATCCTTTGCCCTCTGGGTGTTACCATTGCCCACAAACCTACAACAACGCTGCGGTCAATCTTGTTCAACGGCAAAGACTATGTAAAACCACACGACCAATCAGGGGTATACGCGATTCCATGCCTAGTCTGCTACTAACGGTATGTGGGAGAGTCAGGCAAACAACTGCGCACTCGCCTACACGAACACACACTTGCACTACGACGCACCGACCCGAAGTCACACCTCTGGAACCATTGCGCAACGACAGGTCACGAGGTCAGAATCAATGACGTAAAAGTAGTGGCAAGGGCAAAGAGGAAGGGGGAACGTTTGATCTTTGAAGCACTGCTTTCGACCAACTCATTCAATCGACACGTGGAAATCGATAAACACTACTCAACGATTGTACAACCTATGAGGAACGCGGGATTGATGGACAGACAGGGACGACGCAAACCACAGTGCGAGGCGCAAGCAGACCCAATTCACTCACACTTATTATCGTTTGACGAGTCCTAGTCTGAATCGAAACGTCACAATAAATACTATCACTCAATGCTCACCTCCTCCTTTTCAAAAAAATATATATAAATATGGGCACACTGGAGAAAACAGGATGACAGCTAGTGGTAGAAATAAGCAATTTACAATGCTTACATAACTGATTTCAACTACATGCTACCTTCTTGCATCGTCCAACGATCATTTATCCTGCTTTGGGAGACAAGTAGGGACTTTTCAATTGTATTCTAGCCTTGTTGTATTATCCCTTAGCCAGATTCAGTATAAACAGACCATACTTTTATCCGGTCAGAAAGAGTGCTTTTAGTGACCGGACGACCACCGGTAGGAAACAAACTAGACAAGGTACGTTTGCAAAGACCAAGGAGAGGAACAAGCCTAGATTGAAAACTGAATCAGTGAGTCTAAGTGTACATGTCAAGGACAAGTAAAATTGACCGATGGATTTACCTCGGCGCAGAGTAACAATACTTTTTGTGCTCAAGATTTGGCAGGGACCAACGAAGATTGAGTATCTACGTGAAACACTAGGAAATGGAGGTCATATGCAACCACGTAAATAAAAGACGCTTTTTCATTATTCCAATGTAGTGTCGGACGCTACTGTTGAATGCTCGCACGGCTGCAGTGCCCTTTGGACTGGAAATCTTTGGGTAAAGTTATCTGGGTCGGGATTCAGTGATATATTGTCGAGAAGAAACAGTTATCGATAACCAATACACATAGTTCGACCTCATCAATGCATAAAAACGGTACCATCAGAGAAAGCAGTGATTGCATACCGGTATTCGTCAAGCATCGTCGAGGTGGAAAGGGCCTAGCAACCAGACAGTAAAAAATCCCGAATTATGCAAGAGTTCATGTATCCTTTCACAGATGAAAGTGAATTTTGTGGCTACGCCGCAGATGCGAAGGGGTTTCGACAGCTAAAATGAATTTTGATATGCGTGATATATCGTCTCCGACGCTACTACTAGGTGTTAATTTAATCCCTGGGTAAACATAGCTTTCGATTACATCCAATTGTCACCAATAATTGTATCTGGATGAGCAGGTATTGACGAAGCAATTTGCCATTGGGTGGAGCAAAACGCGTATCCTACCTGGGGCTTGTAGTGGTGAATCAGATGGTATTAAAGCCACTAAAAAAACAGCTAAATGACAGTGACAGAGTTCAGAACTCAGACATTGGAGCCTAGAGCGAAACGATAATAACTTGAATCAACCATATTTTGAGTCGTCCGTGTAAGGCGCATATGATAGTAGGAGTACATATGGGATGGCAGACTATCGTGTGCCAAGGGCATATTCCAACCCCTTGATTTCCATCACCTCGCCTACGGTTTTAAGGAGCTGATGCATGGATTAGCGACCACACTTCGGAAAACCAGGTTGAGGATGACCGAGGCCTAAAACCTAGGCACAAAATATGACGACAGCTACTCTTGAGTGAGCAGTCATAAAGGGAAATCTATTAACCTAGAAGGGATGAATTCACACCAATTGAATGATCTATTTGTGAGCCACCGACAGTAATGCACACACACATAGTTTGTCTGCAATTTGCATTAAACTGTGCATGGGAGAGGTATGCCCTAAAATAAAACGCCAAGGGACGCTGGGGACGTCGGTTGAACCAAATTCTCATGAGATTTCATGATCATGTTGTCTGCAACACCTGCTACAATCTCCCCAATAAGCGAAATTATCTGCGCTTCACCAGTGGTCGGAGTGTCAACCTCTTCAACTCCGAACTCGAACTCCTCATAAGACATTGACTGTCATCCGCCAACTGTAGAGGAAATAGCTACTGTGATTTGTCACTTTAAGTCTGGTAAAGCCTCAGTGAAAAAGGACTTCCGGCAGAAACCTATAAGAAATGCATTCCAGCGATCACAGACGCTTTATACATTGTTTCACTTTAATGGGAGACCAAAAGATGTTGCTGGGATCGGACCAGCATGATTATACTGCTTTTCCCCAATAAAGAGCGATCAGAAGGTATACAGGAACTACCACGGCATTGATCTGTTACACATGGCGATAAAAGCGTTCGCCCAGCTCGTGCTGAATTACTCTGTCACAGTGAAGCATGTGTGCACTCGGTTCAGCCAAGGAGGCTTCTAACCTATGATACAACGTATAGAGCACGTTTTCATCCCTTGGAGAATCCTGGAACACCGATACAGATTCCAGCGCATTTGATGTTACATCGAATCCCGCGAGGTAGACCGCAAGTCATTGCGGAAGTTTAGGGTTGCAGATGGTCTTCCAGTGAAGCTGGCCCATGAAATAAGGTCCTATTAGACTAGAAAAAAAGATTGTATACGCAACTATAGCAGAGTCTAAGCCCTTATAAAAGAGGTCAGGAGTACAATAGGGAACTTTGCGATCTGTAGTGTTGTTACGATTTTCTGTCTACTGGGTCATGTATTAGGTAATGGAAGGCTGACAAGGTGTTTAAATTTTCCCAGGTTACTGAGTCATCGATGACTCAGTGGGGCCTGGGAAGAATCTATCCACTTTTTAAATGTCTCTTCACCGCGTTAAAAGATACGGTGCGGGGGTCCGGCTTACAGACCAAACCCCAAAAAAACAAAATTTTCATGATGCCTTCAGGTCAAGTGGAACGTCCCCCTCAACCGAATGGCCGAATGACAGAAATTGTTCCTGATTTCAAGCCCCTTGCATAAATAATCCTGCCCAACGGACAAGCCACGGAGGAGGCAAGTAGCGCACTGATACGACCCGAACGGCGTTTCTCAGAACTGACCAAAGGCGTCTGGACAAGTAATATCTTAAAATCCAGGGTGTTTTCAACCGTAATCCGCCCAGTCTTATTGTAAGGCTGTGAAGCTTGACCAGCGAAAATAGAGGATATAAAACGGCTGAAGGTCTTAGATCACTGACATCGAATATATTCCTTGAAGGTAAACTGGCTTAACGAAATCATGAGATCACTGGAAACTGTCGCGGCATGGCCGGTCCATCAATACATTTACAACATACAGTAATTGGGGCACATCCTTAGTATTCCTGACGTCACTCTCATAAACGTCGACGGTGCTACCGTATCCATGCCTCTAGCTCCAAAATACTTTCATCGATTGTAAAACTCTTTTTCAAGCATTGTCCACTCGAATAGCTACCCCACGGGCAACTAAGGTTTTAGTAGGTCGATATTGCCTATTACTCTCGTTCTTTATGATACACAACCTAACCCAAATGATACAGGGACAACAACTAAAAAAGGCATACGTAACTTAAACTTGGTCACGTTCTTCGATGAAGCATCAACCATTTCTAGCACTGTAAAACAAAACAGGTCACTTTTGGTTCTGTCTGTGCCAATAGGGATAACCGAAGGCCTATGCTCGGAAAGATTTTAAAAACCAGTGAAAAATACGTGATAGCAGAGTTGAGCTAAACAATCCTGATTGAAACTAATGACAGTCGATAGCGCACCTCTTAGGCTTTCGAGTGGCGAAAATGTGATATTTAACCAGAAGGAAACTGAAAATAAATGTCATGTAAAGTTAGATGATGTTGGCTAACCTTGTGCAAAAATATCAATATAGAAAACTAATCACTCTCACCTGTTGTGTGGTATGAATGGGTGCCCTTGTGGTCAACAATGTCAGAGTATCTAATATATTTAATACAAATTCCACGTTACTGTACGCTGTCAGCATGTTAACCAAACAGGAGCGCATCTAAAAAAATGTTCAAGTGTCAAAATTTTGAGGTGAAGAAAATACCAACTTGTTCTACGATCTGCACCTCGTGATGCATGTGCTTCCCCAAGCGCAACAACTTGAGCTTAACGTCCCAGTCTGATGATACTTCATTCAGCAACTTGCAAAGAATGGGACACAAGCTGACCGCAAATGCACTAAACATGGTGAATTGCTGAGAAACCGTTGAAATACGAGCTACTTACCTGGACATGGAAGCCAGTTGGTGACTGGACCAGATAGCTGCATCTGATTCTACTTCATAGTGAGAATCTATTTGCTTCAGAATGGCATGATGCACTCCAATATGCTCCGAGGTGATTCGACTCAATGTGCCGAACAGACTAAAACACAGATTACATAATTAGAATGCGAAAATGAACGGGTACCGTAGAGTAAGAGCACGTGCAGCCGGATCATTACTACTTGTGAAAGGCATCAGTTTACGGACAATGTCATCGCAAATGGTCAGTTTTTCCAGTTGTG